TGGTGGTTGTTGAACAGCTTAGGGGAAGGTAGATGTTGATTGTTTAATATAGTCATGCACTGCATCATGATATTTCAGTTTAGGACAGACCACATATACAACAGTGGTCCCCTAAGATTATAATACCACAATTTTACTTTACCTTTCCTATGTTTATGTATGTTTGAATATACAAAAATGTACCATTGTGCTACATTGCCTACAGTATTCACTACAGCAACATGCTGTACAGGTTTGTAGCCCAGGAGCACTACGCTACACCATCTAACATAGCTGTGTAGTAGGTTATACCATGCAGGTTTGCATAATTGCACTCTACGATGTTCATACAATGCAACAACCATCTAATACTACATTTCTCAGAACATATCCCTGTCATTGTAACACGTAACTGTATATAAATTTAGGTCAATAAGAAGTCATCCAGATAAGGATATTTTATAAGAAAGTAGAATCACACCATTATTGGTCACACCAAGAAAGAGAGTTTCACTGTAAGACAGAAAATTTAAAATCCTCATAGAACCATCACAGTGTCTAGTTAAGTCCACACCACTTTAGAATTAGACAAACCTGTGTTCAGATCTGCTAGGTTGAATATAAACTCTGCAAGGGAGATGTTAACTCAGCCTTTTTCTTCGTTGATCTATCCCCAAGTGCCTGGAGTAGTATCTGACATACAGGAGGCATGCAAAAAATATATGTTGATGGAATAACTGCAGTTTGGGCTCTGCTACCCTGTTGCTGTATGTCCTTGAGCAAGTTGTTCAAGCTCCCCAAGGCTCAGTTAAAATAGAGATAATAATAACTCACAGCATTGTTTGCAAATTAAATGAGATAAAGCAGCTATTGTCAAAATGGCCCAAAGAGACTCAGGGCTTTCACTTTTCTGTTTTGAATATTGGGCTTTGGGATGAGATTGTACTGAAGAAAAAAAAAAAAATGAAGTAATATATAGTAATGTAGCACAATCCCAGTGTGAGACCCAGTGGCCACCATTTCTAATGCATTCTGATATTGCCGTCAAAGTGGGACACAGAAAGATGAGAAGAGCTATGGGAAAATGGGACTTTCTTGAAATTAATTACAGGTTGAAATGCATTGCCGCTTGCCTGTTTGTAAAGAGTAGCAAATAGAATGTCCAAATGTAGCATGAATACAGTATTGAAAGGAAACAACGATTAAACATTTCTTTCCCAAATGCTTGGTAAGTATAAAGAAAAAGGAAACAAGTTGAAAGAAGTACTAATTGGGAAAATCTTACAAAATAATTTATGTAATTATACCAAGATAAAAATATGTCTTTTCTTAGTTTCAGTAATGATTTAAAAATTAACCTTGGGTGGGGGGAGAAGGACTTGGCAGAGTATTTAATTATCACTCGTGTGGCTAACTTTCTGGGTTGCAGTTTCTCCAGTTTGGCTTTAAAATTGTTAATAGCTCCTGCCTTTCTCTCATCTCAGTGAGGGTTGATCATGTGCCATGTGGCATGCTGAGCACACATCATCATTAGCATCTCGACTAATTTTCTTTCTGATTTGACCAAGCAGTAGTTGAGAAGCTCATTTCCCTGGGCTCCAATTTATTTCATCAGCTAAGCCGTTACACTCAGGCTCAGATCTTTTCTGGTGCCCTTTTGGGTAGGGACAAGAGATACAGACATGATGAAGAGAGGCAGAAGCCTTTAAGTTCATGAATCCTGGGTGCCTGAGGAATGAAAGCTCCCACGTTCTAGTGCAGTATCTACAGTCCGTTTCTTTAAAGTCCTTCTCTGTTTTGAAAGAACCACATTTGGGAGAATGACCTTGATAGATGATTAAAACAAGTCTACACTTGTGAAATGATACAGATTAGCATATTTTGGAGGAATCAATTTTTTTTTAAGTTTGGCAGAAGAACGTAAGTAATGTGCCATAATAGAATGCCAAACTTAAACTTCATTGATGCCTTCTTCCAGCCTCCTGTTCCAAACAGCTGTACAGAATATGTTCCTAATATTTCAATTAGAATGAAAAAAGATGTAGGCCAGGCGTGGTGGCTCACACCTGTAATCCCAGCACTTTGGGAGGCCGAGGAGGGTGGATCACCTTAGGTCAGGAATTCGAGTCCAGGATGGCCAACGTGGTGAGACCCTGTCTCTACTAAAAATACAAAAATTAGTCCGGCATGGTGGCTGTCACCTGTAATCCCTGCTACTCAGAAGACTGAGGCAGGAGAATTGCTTGAACCCGGGAGGTGGAGGTTGCAGTGAGCCGACATCGTGCCATTGTACTCCAGCCTGGGCAACACAGTGAGATGCTGTCTCAAAAAAAAAAAAAAAAAGGAAAAGAAAAAATATGTCAAATATGTGAGTACTTTTTTTGAGACTATGAAAATCTCCCTGGAAAAAAAAGACATATGCATTAGGTCTAATTCTCTGAAATCGGGCAAAGAATTCACTCTAGCACAAGTCAAATGCATATGGAAAAATAGGATACAGACAATTGAGGCATACTGAAATAAATATGACAGGCACAAATGCATTCAAGTGTGTATAATACAGACTTTTGAAGAGGGTCAAAGGGTTGGTTTAACTGGAGAGAGCAGTAGCAGTAGCCTTTTGTGAGTGAAGGTTGCCTAAATGGTGCTGTATTCTTTATTAGGCAAAGATATTCTGTACCAAATGGTGGCTCAACACTGGGCGAATAAATATCCCAGCCTCTCTTTCCTTCCATCCTCCCATCACCAGCATCCTATTACTTACACCAAGTGAGAAGCCACAGGGCAAGGGAGCCAGACGGACAATAGTTCATACCAGTCAGCTCTCCTGGGGACTGACAGCAGAGTGAAGAAGAGTGGAAGACAGATCTGGAGTTGTCTTCCTAAAAGACATTTAATGCATTTTTACCTGCTTTCTATTTATTTAAATGTGTCTGGTCTAACTGCTAAATTAAAATATTTGTCTCTGAAAATCTATAAGTATGAATATAATTCTTTTTGTCTATTAAGAGTATTTCTGATTCAATAGCTATTCTTTAATGGCTGAAAAAATGCCATTTTAATATATTATTTTTATAAGCTGCATTTCATTTTTAAATTTAAATTAAGTGAAATCTCTGATGCAGTGGTATTAAGGACTCTTCACAATAGGAACATATTTTTTTGGAAAAAAACAAATTACTGGAAGTAATAGAGATATTTTTAATTCTGATATTTCTCAATTGTGTTTCTGTTTAGTTACTCAAATAAAAATATATTGGTTTGTGAAATGGTTTTATGATTCTGAAGGCAAAAAATTGTATTGCCTCCTCAAGAAATTGGAGTTTTGATGTTTCCTAGATGAATACAATATTGAGAATTGAATACATAGCCTGGTGAATCTCTGATGTAGGAAGGAGGGAGGCATTTTTAAACCATGTTCAGGCCATTCAACAATTCAACAGCAGTTAATGGTTAGTATGTACAGACTTTGCTGCGAGCAGTAAAGCTATGGTGATAACCAGGACAGACAAGCCCCTGCCTCAGATGTGTGAATCCACCTTCACATCCTTTCCCTCCTGCTGTCTGCTGGGTGAGGAAATGCAGTTAATTTCTGTCCCAGGTGCACATCCTCACTGGCAAACCAAGGCATAGTCACCCACGACTGCTCAAGAAGATAGCCTTTATCTCTCAGGTGTCTAGCAAGGAAAAATGATTGAGAACCACAATTCAGTATTAACAACTCCCCTCCCCTGGAGTGGATTTGCTTTTTATTTCTCCTACTCTAAACTCAGAGTGAATTTGCAATAGGAAAATTGCTGCGTTTATTCAGTTCTGGAAAATTCTCAGCCTTTTTCCCTTTGACTATTGCTTTTTCCGCAGTCTCTCCTTCTGAAACTCCAGTTAGAACTTTTCATTGTACCCTCAGTGTCTTTTAAGTTTGCTTTTGTAATTTTTGTTTCTTTATACGGGCTCTGTTCTGGGTTCATTAATTCCCTTTTCCACCATAAGTCTTCAGCTTAATTCTATCACTGATTTTATTTTTTAAATAATTGTAGTTTTTCAAGTCTAAGAGCCCTGCATGTTATTTTTCAAATCTGATTTTTTTTTAAATCTTCTGTCATTGCATGGTAGATTCAGTTTCTTCTTTAATAAATCTAGGTATTTTAAACAGAGTTATTTTAAACTTTGTTTCAGATCAGCGTATTCCAGCTCATCTTCCGCTGGTTGGGTCTGCTGACATGTTCTTGCTTGCAAGGTTCCTCATATGCTTTGTAGTATTTGTCTCTGCTTATCTTTTGTAGATGCTACCTTCATGTTCTGCCAGTCTTTCAATCTTACATTCACTCTTTTCTGAACAACTACATTTCCAAATTTTGTTCCTTCAGCCTAGATGCTTTTTCTTCTCCATCCCCGTACTGTAGTTGTGCCTATCAAATCCAAATCAGCATAAAGTTAGTCTGTTCTTTCAGTTGTAGTACTTTGACTATTTAAATCCAAAACACAACTGAGAAGGAAAGTGGGGTATCTTTTGTATTTCTTTCTTAACGTTTCCACATTTTTAAAAAATGATCTGGCCTTATATAAACATTTTTGAACAAAATTTTATAGAACATAGTAATACTTACAGAAAATTGGCAATATTAATAACACTTTGTTCCTATTTTTAATTATATACATACACATATATAAACACATACATATATACACACACACACATATTTATATATATGCCTCCCTCCTTCCTACATTTCCCTTTCATTCTCCCACTTATAATCTCATAGTCTGGCTTGCTCAGCACTTGTTCTGTTTGAATTTATCTGGTTCATATATTTATTTGTTCATTATTTTTCTCCTCCTAGAGTCCCTTTTCTCTGTTGTGACACACAGCCTAATGCAGCATCTAGCACATAGTAGGTCTTCAGTAAATATTTGTTGAATAAATCAGGAAATAAATCAGTGCCCATTTTAATGAAAATCACTTAATGGAAAGGGCAGAATGTGTTTATGCCTTCACATGTTTGGTGTCTTCTGCCCACCAGGTGCGGTACTGGAATGGTGGTGGAAAGGAGGAATCATCCAGTAAAGTGAAAGTGGCAGGAAATGAGACATCAGCCAGACTACGGGGCCTGAAGAGCAACCTGGCCTATTACACAGCTGTCAGGGCTTACAACAGCGCCGGCGCCGGGCCCTTTAGTGCCACAGTTAATGCAACCACCAAGAAAACGCGTAAGTATATTCTGATTCATTTAAATGGTAAGGAAAACAGTTTGCAATAAAAATGATAGCCTTCTATATTATTTGAAATGGACAACCCACGTCATTAATCTCACTAGATTATATAAACCTAACTCCGGCCGGGCGCGGTGGCTCAAGCCTGTGTAATCCCAGCACTTTGGGAGGCTGAGACGGGCGAATCACGAGGTCAGGAGATTGAGACCATCCTGGCTAACACGGTGAAACCCTGTCTCTACTAAAAAATACAAAAAACTAGCCGGGCGAGGTGGCGGGCACCTGCAGTCCCAGCTACTCGGGAGGCTGAGGCAGGAGAATGGCGTGAACCCGGGAGGCGGAGCTTGCAGTGAGCTGAGATCCGGCCACTGCACTCCAGCCGGGAGACAGAGCAAGACTCTGTCTCAAAAAAAAAAAAAAAAAAGCCTAACTCCAAAACCTTAAAACTCAGAGCCACACATACCCTTGTCTTCATGATATCCTTAAATCTTTAGGTAGAGACTCCCTGTGAAAATGAATATGCACCTTTTGAAAAAATCTTAATGTGGGGTGTTAGGTTAAATCTATCCCCTTTTCTTTTAAAATATGGTAAGCTTAGTTGTGTTTACATTCACGTATTTTTAGTTTCCCAAAGTTTGAGGATTTCTGATAAGCATGAATAAGTTAAAATTAATGCCGAAGAATCAGGAGTGATTTTTCCTTCTTTACCTTTCTTTTCTACATCATTCAAAAAATGGCAATGTACATTAAATGGTTATCAGCAGAAGATGATGGTCCTGTGAATGTGTTGATACTCTGACAAATCTAACCAGAGTTGTCAGTGTTGCCTTCAAAGCTGAGTTTTTGTTAGCTGTGTATTCACAGGTAAATTTGCCAGCTGCAATCATGAGTTACAATTATATTAGTCTACAAGAAAGTCAGTGATTTACAATTTGGGAATGTTCCACACGTATTTCAGTTAATCTAATAGCATAGTATACATTTCAGCATTGTGTTTTATTGTTTTATTGGTGCTTACTCACAATGCAAATGTTTGAGTTGTTGTTGTCATTGCCCTCATCATAGCTAATAGTGATTGAAAACATTGTGTCCCAAGTAATTTATGCTCATTCCCACATTTAATCCTCATAACTACTCCCAAGCGGTAGGTGCCATTATTATCTCTATTTTAAAGGTGATAGAAGTATGGTTTGAAGGGATTAGGTGACTTATGCGCAGTAATACCATATTTTTACTTGCAGAAAATTGTTTTCTTAATTTATTTTCAAATTTCTTAATTGAATAAAAATGTTTGCTTAACTAACTTTATGTAAGAATGAGACATTTTTTATGCTTGGTTGCTAATTTCATTGATGCATTTCTGTTTCCATATATCATTTCCAATTTTTTTGAAAACATACATTTTTTTGTCTACAATTGCAAAGAACTCCAATAATATAAAATTGAATATGATTGACTGGCATTTTTAGGCTAACTTAAAGTAATGTAAGACATAATTCTACTACTTTAGATGTTAATTAACCAGTGTAAATTTGATTAGAGAAGTTTGTATGTTTATCTTCTTTGTATTAGCTATAGAAAAACAGTGTGGCTAACAATTGGCTAGTACAGTGACCATTGCAGAGCACAAGTTTAGCGACAAACCCTTTGAATTTCTATAGCAAGACCCATTTGTAAGCAACCGACTAATGTAACATTTAACATGATCCTTATCTGATTATTAGAGGAAGTCTAATCTACCTGTTTGTCATACCACTTGGTTGCTGTTAGACCAAAGAGCACATGGGTTTGGAAATACAGAAACAAAAAATTGTGTATTTACAACTCTTTACTAAATATGTTTGGTTTTCTCAACAATTCCTACTGAATTAATATGGTCTAAATATACATCATTATTTATATATTCCAAATACAGCATCAATCAAAAATTCTGATTGCAAAAATATATGCAAACAAGTTTATCTGGCTCTTTTCTCTGACTTAATAATTGATGTGATTACTTGCTAGGAAATTATGATTGTAAAAGACAGTGTAACACCATGGTGGAATCAGTGAAGAACTTAGTGGATTAGTAAGACAGAAGGAAGAGACTGATTAGAAATCAATAGAAATGTCATGATAATGTGCAATGAATGAATGAAAAATTTTAAAAGAAGCAAAATCCCTTTATAATTTAGAGATGGCATATAAATGCCCAATCCAAAGTAGAAATTTGCACATAACAGTGATGCTGATAATTATGGTTGAAACTTACTGAGCAATTTCCAGTGATGGTTCTAAGTAATTTTCATGTATTGATTCTTAATTCCCACAGCAATATCATGACTTGAAGGTATTAGTATGCTTACTTTAGAGAGAAGGAAGCTGAGGCATATGGAGGTTATATAACTGTACTGAGATTGCAGAGTAAGTAACAGGATGGGCATCCAAATCCATAGTCTTAACTACTATGGTATCCTCTCTTTCAGCCATATTGTTAGAATTTCATCACTCGTTTAATACCTTTATTTATTGTGATTTTGCTCTGTGCTTAGGATATGGGTAAGATGATCACAGGTTGTCATGGCTTCTCTGCTCATGGAGCTTTAGTTTGATGGGAATTCCAGCAACTGAATGAAATCTCTCAAAAACAATGCTCTGCTGTTACCACAATTCAACCGGAGTCTTTAGGTTGATCTGTAGATGTTATTAAGGGCAATTTCCCACATTGGGTGGGAAATTCACATAGATCATTAAAATCCCCAATCATCTTAAAATGGCATATAAAGAACGTATGTTAATTTTTACATTTTATGTTAATAATTTTTAAATATGTACCAAAATTACAAGTAAAACAGAATCTCTTAGAGCCATTAATAGTATTGTTACTGGTAGCTCTAAATAGTCTTCCTGAGCTTTGACATGGTTGAAGTGCAAATCCTATTTAAAATTTTGATAAGGCTCTTGTGATTATCACTATGAAGAGAATTACTCATCTGCCTTGGCATAAAGAGCAAAAATAACATTTTTGATTACCTGCTTGCTATCTCTCTTCCTCTGTGGATTCTAAACTTTACGGGGAAAGAGTCCTTCTGTGTCTTATTTACCCAGCCACTGTGCCCAGCACAAACCCAGCACATGGGAGCAGCATATTAAATGTTGAATAGATGAATGAAACCTAAAGAAGCAAGCCAAACCTCAAGTACTATTATTAATCAAATGTTCTTCCTCTTGACTGCACATTGCGAATTCAAGACACGCTACAGTTCTTTACCATCTCACTTAAAATGTGCAAGTTTCATGTACTCATCATTATGGAATTTTGTATGCGAGGCTTTAAATCAGTACAGTTTTTAGATGATATTTCTGGTTAATGTAAAATAACACAAGGATTCTCAAGTACTATAGCTTCCATTAAACACTTAATTTTTTGATATCCAAATACTTGTGTTTTTTAAAAGCATTTTTAAGTTAAACACTAATTAGTCTCTTTAAGTAATCTAAGATGGGTTTCTGTCACTTACCACTGAAAGAGAGCAAACTCTTAACAGCATCTTTCATCTCAAGGGACTGATGAAGAAAATCTGCAGATGGCTTAAAAATGATATGTTGCATTAGTTTCTAAAAAGAAACATTGAGAATTTTATGTTCAGAGTTTGCAAGAGATAATCTGTAGGATGAATATTCTGCTTTGTATAATCAAACAAGTCAAGTGGTAATTCTGACGTTCAGTATGAATGGATCCAGACACTCAAACAACTTCCACCAGAATCATGTAATAAGATCTCAAATTTAATAAAACTGAATTGTTGGTTCTCCTTCCAACCCATTTAAATCCTCTCTCTTCTGTGATAGTCCCATTTCCATAAATTCCACTCCAATGTTTCAGTTTCTCAAGCCAAAAATCTTAGAGTCACCCTCGAGTCACTTTCTCTCATACCCTACACTAGATCCAGAATCTTACTTCTACATTTATCAACAATTTACCACTTCTGGCCAGGCACGGGGGCTCACTCTTGTAATACCAACACTTTGGGAGGCCAAAGTGGTATGATTGCTTGAGCCCCGGAGTTCAAGACCAGCCTGGGCAACAGAATAACACTGTCTCACTATACTGAGACAGAGAAAAATATAAGAAAATTAACCGGGTGTGGTGGTGTGTGCCTGTACTCCCAGCTACTCGGGAGGCTGAGGTAGGAGGATTGCTTGAGCCTAGGAGATCCATCAGAGCTGCAGTGAACCATAATTGTGCCACTGCACTTCAGTGTGGGCAACAGAGTAAAACCCTGTCTCAAAAAAAATAATAAAAATAAAAAATGGAATATACCACATCTTACGCTGCTGCCACACCAGGGTAAGCTGCCTCCAACTCTCTCCTATAGATCAGGGCAATGGCTTCTTACTGTTCATCCTGTTTCTGCCTTTGCCTTGACATCCTGATAATGTCACTTCCCTGTTCATGACCTTTTTGTCACTTCCCATCCCACTTCAGGTAAATGCTAAATCCTTAAAATGTCCAACGAGGGCTTATACAGTCCACTCCCCAATCTCTGCTAACTCATTTCCTATTCTTTTCCACCTTGCTCATTCCACTTTACTTTAGAACCTCTGCATGTACTGTTTCCTGTATCTCAAAAGCTCTTCCTACAGATACCCCCATAATGCACTCCCCCGTCTCTTCCAGGTCGTCACTCAGATATCACCTGGGTGCCACCTGACTGCAGCTCCACCTTTCCTGATGCATACCCTCGTCTCCTTCCCTGCTTTATCCTTGTGCCTAGCCTCAGAGCCACCACATGTACTATATCTCGTGGCTACTCACTTCATCATTGTGTCCCCAGGACATCGTTGTGTCCTGCCTTAGCCATAGTGTCAGCACCTTCAGAACAGAGCTATGGCCTGGTTTGATCATTGCCCTGTTGCCAGAGCTCTGCTCCAGTGTTTAAGTAATCATAGTCAGTAGTCAGTGCCCAGTAAGTATTTGTTGAACAATGACTCTCTCCATCACTGTCTCTGCT